GTATATCGTATATAACTTCTACCCCCACATAATTGTTTAGTATATCGTATATAACTTCTACCCCCACTATAATTGTTTAGTATATCGTATATAACTTCTACCCCCACATAATTGTTTAGTATATCGTATATAACTTCTACCCCCCCACATAATTGTTTAGTATATCGTATATAACTTCTACCCCCCACATAATTGTTTAGTATATCGTATATAACTTCTATTTCTCTCTCTCTTGGATATTTATGTGATTTTTTTTTTATTGTAACAGCAACAATTTCTCAAATGGGTAGGTTGGCTTATCCCTAGTATGCCTGTCGGATGGATAAAATATGACCTGGCCATTCGGACGGAAGAAGGCAAACAGAAAGTATTAGAAGATCCACACATGTACAAAGGAGTGTGGGTAAAAGCAGGTTGGGTTAAAACGATGCTGGACTCTGCTCCAGTAAGTATGGACTTAACTTGTATATGATTACATCATATCTAAAGTCCGTTACAGTGAAACTGAGTAACATTTAATTTTTTTACTACGATGTGTAAACCTGTCCCCCCTCACAAACATGTAACGTTCCCCATCACGTTCCAAAAGTTTATCAAATTTGAAATATTTTTAAAATCCTCTTCTTGTTTTCTATTACGTAATGAGTGAGTGAAAGTAATAATGAATCTCACAAATACTATAGTGTTTTGAAGAAAATACAAAACGTTACAAAAGAATAAATATCAATTTTATGTCGAGTTAGTTTTAAAATAATTAATTTTCCCAAGGACAGTGTAAATCACGACAAGTAATAAGACAAAGTCTTGGTTATTTTCCCAAAGACAGTGTAAATCAAGACAAGTAATAAGACAAAGCCTTGGTTATTTTCCCAAAGACAGTGTAAATCACGACAAGTAATAAGACACAGTCTTGGTTATTTTCCCAAGGACAGTGTAAATCACGACAAGTAATAAGACAAAGTCTTGGTTATTTTCCCAAAGACAGTATATATCACGACAAGTAATAAGACTGTTTGTAGTTTCTGTTGTAGTAAAAGAAAGTTAAAATTACGTTTTAGCATACCTCTTTAGCCACTATAACTAACAAACAATTATAAGAAAAGTCAGGAACACTAACCAAGACTTTGTCTTATTACTTGTCGTGATATATACTGTCCTTGAGAAAATAACCAAGACTTTGTCTTATTACTTGTGGTGATATATACTGTCCTTGAGAAAATAACCAAGACTTTGTCTTATTACTTGTCGTGATATATACTGTCCTTGAGAAAATAACTAAGACTTTGTCTTATTACTTGTCGTGATATATACTGTCCTTGAGAAAATAACCAAGGCTTTGTCTTATTACTTGTCTTGATTTACACTGTCCTTGAAAAAATAACCAAGACTTTGAGCTAATAAACATGATTGTTGAGTAATGACTACTTTCTTTTACTACAACAGAAACTACAAACTGAGCTAATAAACATGATTGTTGAGTAATGACTACTTTCTTTTACTACAACAGAAACTACAAACTGAGCTAATAAACGTAGTTGTTCCGTTGTTGATTATTCATGGCGGCCAGGACAAGATTTGTAACATATCAGGAGCTAAGAAGTTCTACGAAACTTCGGAAAGCAAAGACAAGACTTTAAAGGTATGGAGATTTTATCAAATAAATTAATGCTTGTAGAATATTTTAGCTTAAATTTTGAAGATATAAAAAAATTGACTTGAGAAACTGCTTTGAAACTACAGATGCCTGGGACACTTTTTTTTCCCAACGCGATGTTTAAAGAACTGACGTTTTCTAGTATGTTTTGATTATTTATCGACAATTATGAATATGTTAAATGTTTTATATGTATATATTAACGAGATCTCGCAGATCCTTGATTTCCTCACATTTATCAGAACACTTCCGATTCCGGTTAATTTAATTAACACTTCCGATTCACTTCCTGACACTTCCGATTCCGGTTAATTTAAAATAGGCTTTGTTGCCACACCTTGAATAACATATAAAACATGAATCATTTTCTCACACAGTTTTAAACCACCACCTCTATAATTCACAAAATTAAAAGTATATAAATAAAATATAAAATATTAAGAAATAAAACCCTACATGATTCGAACGACCTAGCCGTTCTTCTTCAAATGTTATCCATGTGTTATTATTTATATTAACTCAGTACCTCCCCCCCCTCCTTATTTGAAACATCCATAAATTAAACTACTTCCTCACGATTTAAAGTTTTACGTTGTTAATGATGCCTTATATATTCTCTAATAGTTCCTTGTTTATCAGGCTGAGGTTGAGCAATAATTTTAAAATAATTATTTTAAAATAATTTATATTTATTTATGTTTTGTATTTACATATTTTTCAATCTATTCTCTTAGTTCATTTATAATCCCAACAATAAGTTACGTTTCATTTGGCCTACGTACGTACACCTTGTTTCATTCACAAATATCGTGGCTTTATAAATTTAAAGAACAAATTGTAAACAAACATCGTAAAAGGACTTTCTGTTTCTGTGTTAAAGAATTTTATCATGTGTATTACGTTTCAAACTTCTAACTTTGTTGAAGGGATTCCTTATGTATTCCGTATTAAAGTGTTGTTTGTTTGTTTTTTTGTTGTTGTTGCACTGTTAAAGGTTAGTGCGACGTGGCTACTGAGTTTATTTGTTAAAGAGTTGTGTTGCGTATAAGTGTTTTTTATAAGGGTAAATGAAAGTTATGCCGCATTTTGCAAACATACGTTCGTAAGTTTTATTGGATTTAAACTTGAGATTAAGGTCAGCTTGAGGACAAGCCTGAAGTAAGGACAGCACGATAAGTGTCACCTATAAACATACTCAGTATTTCCTTTATTAATTAGATAATTGTTGATTTTTTCCAGCTGTTTTTACACCACGCTGGCAAATAATGTCTTTAAATTTCTTTCACTTTAGCTGCTCATTGTTACATGTCAATTACCTAGAATAGCACATTTTGTCTTCTCGTGAGAAAGATAGCTGTGGGGTCACCTATTGTATGGGAAGTTAGACAGATATATTTTCCACTGGTGGTCTGGTAACCTCTAGAGGTAAAAACCTCTCTTGTATTTCATTAAGACATGACTAGTCACGTGTGTAACGCTAGTTGCTCTGGGTAGTCTGACACTAATCACCGAAGTAGCTAACATGAGAACCAGACAGTCATGAACAGGATTTCTGAAGAGTTAATCTGGAACATGATCTTTAGAGATAGAGCTTTGAACTTTAGATCATAGAGTTAATATTAACTTTCTACTAAAAGTAACTGTCAGTTGGGTCCATTAAAATATACATTTTAACTATTTGTTTTAAATAAAGATTATTTATTGTGAGGGTACGTTTGTGTTCAGTCTCTACTTGGGTAGTCAGAGAACCTAGAATTATTTCACAATAGTTATCCTTACGAATCTTCTGTTATTAAATAGCCAGTGGAGCATAGGGCAGCAACAACACCTCGCCAAAGGAAGGTGTTGTTGTAGTTACTTGTAGCAGGTTGGTTTTCTACGGGGTGGAGTTGCTAGCCTCCTCCTTTCTCATCCTGGACTTGGGACCAGGCAAAGGCGGAGGTTGGCATGTTTGGTGTGACGGGGATTCGAACCCGCGACCCTCAGATTACGAGTCGAGCGTCCCCTATCCACCTGGCCATGCCGGGGCCCTAACCACCTGGCCATGCCGGGCCGCTTACCATATGATTACCACTGTCTAATGACACTTTCAATACGTTTTAGTATGTTTCTCACACGGGTTCCCCGGTGGGTCATCGCTAAGTTCTCAGACTCACAGTGCTTAAATCCAGAGTTCGATTTCCCGCGGCGAACAAAGCGTTACTTTGCGTTAAAAAAAAACAACAACAACCACGAAACGTTTTTAATATACAGACGTACGTACAAGTTAAATGCTGTTAAAATGAGGGTAAATAAGTGTTTCTAAACATTACTTTAATCTGCATCTAATACACGAGACATGTTACCAATACATATACGTCCATTTCGTGCCAATGAAAAATTATAAAAATCCTACTCAAGTATACGAACAAAATGAAGCTTTTAAAATTAGCAAAAGTTTCAGCCGACTTTGGCAAACAAAGGGTTAATTTCATCATGCCTCAATTTCATCATGCAGATTCGGAAACCAGAACTTTAGGTGATTCCCCTCTCCCAAACAAAATGGTGGGCGTTGTAGAACTAACAAACTTTTGTCTCACCTTCATCTAGACATATGTTCTGTAGATTCATACACACAAAATCTTGTATTCTTAAAGGTATTTGACTAATAGATGTGATCACGTGGTTCATGACGTTTGTTTGTTGTTAAGCACGAAGCTATATAATGGGCTATCTGTGCTATGCCAATCACGGGTATCGAAACCTAGTTTTTATGGTTATAAGCCTTTAGACTTACCACTGAGCCACTGGGGAGTCATAACATAATTTAGATTAAATATTTAGCCTGGAATTTTCTGGAATGTTAGAATAGCTTATAGAATAAGCTTCACTTGGTAGATAGTTCAAACGATTAACACTAGGAAAACATAAATGAAAAATAATAGTGCGCTTTTAAGCTGTAACGATGGATAACCAGATAATAAAACTGTGACTTGTTTTAGGGTTAAGAGTTGGTCAGACTAGTGTTGTTGTTTTTTCAAATTCTGTTTTGATTACTGTCTGTAGATGACGCAATTCTAACGTTAGCGTATAACTGGTTTTATACTCCGTTGAGAAGTGGGACTACGGAAAACTGTTGTGTTCATTTTCTGAAATTTTCAGCAATATAGCGTTTAACCCTAAAATATAAGTGATATAGTAATCTCTCTAAAACAGTCTGTGAGTTATTAGTCTAAACAGTGATCGGCAACTTTTTTGATCGCGGATCAGTTAAATATTTTTTTGAAAATTTTAGCATTGAATTGGGTTAGTAACAGTCATAAAATTCTTAATACAGGTTAATGTATTTAAATGTGTGTGTATATTTATGTACAACAAACAAAATTAATAGTTCGAAGAGCTTAAATATTTTTGATGTAACTAAAACTTAAGAGCGGTCCCTAATTCTGACTACTAACGTATATTTATTCAGGGTGTCGTTTGTCACGAGTCCACGTTCTTTCACTGCCTTAAATAAAGCTCTTCGTCACGATTGTTTTCAATCGAACATTTACGTTTTCTCTCTGGCTTTTACCTTTCTATATTCCCATATTCAGCACAAGATGGCGCCACTGAAACCAATGAATATACTAATTAGTGTCCTTGAGACACTACTTTCCATGTTAATCTGGACTGCACTCAACCAGGGAAGAAACTTCCATCTACACCTATCACACTTATTTTTATAGCAAGCGATAAACACTCATTTAAATTTGGAATCTTCCATTAAGGGAGGGAGGGATTCTTCTCGAATCTACTTTGTTTTGTTTGCTATCCCTGTGACAGGTACCTCACTCACGCGCGTATGTCTAGACTTTAGAACTTGCTAAAACAATAAAAAGCACAACACCAGTTGTGGTTAATGTAGCGATAAACACTGACATGTTTAAAAAGCACAACACCAGTTGTGATTAAGGTAGCGATAAACACTGACATGTTTAAAAAGCACAACACCAATTGTGATTAAGGTAGCGATAAACACTGACATGTTTAAAAAGCACAACACCAATTGTGATTAAGGTAGCGATAAACACTGACATGTTTAAAAAGCACAACACCAATTGTGATTAAGGTAGCGATAAACACTGACATGTTTAAAAAGCACAACACTAGTTGTAGTTAAGGTAGAGATAAACACTGACATGTTTAGAAAACATAACACCAGTTGTAGTTAAGGTAGAGATAAACACTGACATGTTTAAAAAGCACAACACTAGTTGTAGTTAAGGTAGAGATAAACACTAACATGTTAAAGTGTAACACTTCTCCTTTATGTTTCTTCTTTCATTTCACTCACTGTTTCAATCTCTATTTTTGTGTTTCTGCTATTACACTATTATTACTCTATTTCTTACAATCTTACATTTTGACATTCAAGGTAAATACTTACCCGTTAAGACTAACTCTAAAGCTACCGGTAACAAGAAATGGATTCTAATCTCATGAGTACCATAACAACAAAGCCTTTTCTCACGAGTACCATAACAACAAAGCCTTTTCTCACGAGTACCATAACAACAAAGCCTTTTCTCACGAGTACCATAACAACACCGTTTCCAGCTATTGGTCTTCAAATATCAATAAAACTCAAGTTTTTGTATTGTTTCTGATTTATGCTTGTTTGTTTTTTTCCACATTGGTCTTTAAACCTTGTTATGATATTTTATTCTAGGTTTATCCAGAGTCATATCACTGCCTTTTTCTCGAACCAGATGGCATTCCTGAGCACATAATAGATGAAACAGTGAATTGGATATCGGACAGGGTACAGTAACTCAAATAGTGGATAAATCTACTGTGTTGTAGGGGAAACAATACGAAGGTTGATGAATGAAATGTGTGAAAAACTTTAGACTTATATATAAAAAACACTTATATGAAAATTATATTGAAATATGCTAATATTACACCCTTACGTTATATATATGTATATGTACATTATAATATAATCGTATATTCTAACCGTCAGAAAACTTTCCTTATGATTAAATCCAGTTGGAATACAGCTTCTACAGCATGTCTAATGATCATAACTGTAGTTGGATTACAGCTTCTACAGCATGTCTAATGATCATAACTGTAGTTGGATTACAGCTTCTACAGCATGTCTAATGATCATAACTGTAGTTGGATTACAGCTTCTACAGCATGTCTAATGATCAAAATTGTAGTTGGATTACAGCTTCTACAGCATATCTAATGATCATAACTGTAGTTGGATTACAGCTTCTACAGCATGTCTAATGATCATAACTGTAGTTGGATTACAGCTTCTACAGCATGTCTAATGATCAAAATTGTATTTGGATTACAGCTTCTACAGCATGTCTAATGATCATAACTGTAGTTGGATTACAGCTTAAAGTTAAAACCAGGAAGTTCATATATAATAATAATAATATACAAATGCCAACACACCTATGATCTATGATATAAAACATAAACCATGCTTTGCACCTTTGTTCTGTGTAACGAGTGTTATTAATGATTTTAACAATCACGAGTGTTTTTGATACTATTCTGAATTTTATACAATCAAAATTAAATAATTTTAAATCATATTTACGTTATTTTGTGACATCCCTATAGTGCATCCCGACTTCTCTCAAGATATTAAAATCGAAATACTGAAAGAAAGAGGCACGCACTTTTTTGATTGGTTTGAAGATCCAACTTCCATCGAGATCCCGTCTCCTGGTGGGACAGCCGCCGTAACTTTACGGACTTACAATGCTAAAATCCAGGATTCGATTCCTCGCGGTGGACACAGCAGATAGCCTAATGTGGCTTTGATAAATCCTTGCGTTAAATTAGTAAAATGATTTTGATGAATACAAAGAATGTTGCAGTGTTTATATGTGAGTGTTTTAAGATTTTAGTTTTGAAATAAAAGGTTTTTAATACGAGAAATAGTTTGACAACTGTATTTGTATTTTTAAATTGCCAGAACAATTAATATTTAAAATAAATATATCCTCGTAATAAGCCTTTTTAAAAAAAAATATATATATATCAGAATATTAGTTCAAAAGTGTTTAAGTTCAACCGATGGACTAGTGGTAATATTACGGATTTACAACGCTCAAATCCTGGGTTCGATTCCCTGCGATCATAGAGTGCAAATAACTTATTGTGTTGCTTAGCACTAAAACAGCAACGACCTCTATGTGTCAGTGTTTTAAGATTTAGTTTTGAAATAAAAGGTTTTTACTACGAAAAACGGTTTCCAAGATTCGTTATTCATTTTGACAACAGGGTGTTTGCATCTTGAATAAGTTTGTTTGTTTTTCAGGAAAGATATCAATATGTCGTAGTTCACAAATGAGGCCCTGCTAGTTCTAATGCAAGTGTTCAATTCTTTTAGTTCGTTTTGTTACTCATTTGGAAGTATAAATGAATAAATATCTTGTCGTTACGAGGGTCGTGGTTTCGAGTCTCGTCACCGAATTTGCCCGACCTTTTAGACGTAGGGGCGTTATAAAGTGCCAGTCAATTCCACTATTTGTCAGTATTAGTAGAAGAGTAGCCCAAGAGTTGGCGGATGGTAGTGTTGACTAGCTGCCTTCACTCTAGTCTATGAATGAAATTTTAAATAGAATATATTTTCAGCGCCTTTGACTTCGAGACTTAGGCGTTCAATGTTTGTTATCCGTTATATATGTTTAATACAATAAACTTAAGTATAGACATACTACGCATAGATAACTAGCGTCTTGTTCCTGAAAGTTTACTCAAATACTACGTGATCGAAGCCCACCTCACCGTACGCGGTCCCAGTTCTAAGATGTATAAAATTTATACTTTTGTATGCTCAGGAGCGCATCTAATGATAGTCCACTTGTATATACAAAAAAAAATAACACTTTTGGAAACCGAATATTCGTCTGTTAAACGTTTGCAAATCACGAAAGGCTCGCCTGTGGACAAGACCAGCCTTGCAACTTTCCAGATCCCATATGAGTCGACAGTTAATACCTCACATATAAATACATCCTGTCTTTACAATAAATAACAACAACTAACTAGAGATTACGTAGTGACAAACTACACCTTGTGGCATGGTATACATCCAGTCTTTAGAATAAATAACAAACAAAATATATAATAATTTATTCATTTTATAAATCTTTAAAAACTAGAGATTTAATTTTTATCAGAGTTACTCATCTCTGTATTCTTTGTTAATAACAGTTGATGGAGAAAGATTTTTAACACTTCATTGTGGACAAGTAATTGAAAAAGAGTATGTAATTAAATAATTTTTACTGTTGTGTAAAATTTAAAACTTGTTTATTGTCGGATATACAGAGTATAATTTACTCTAAAGGGGGTCACCTGTTTTAACCACTTGCTCCACTATACAATAGTGTGTTGTCAGTCAGTCAGTCAGTAGGCACTAAGATGACGTCACATAAGGGGCGCTAAACATTGCAATTTGTACTGCCGTGACGTCAGTAAAACGTGCGCAAGTGACGAATCACTCTGTAGGCTACTACACAACATGACGTATGAACTTCAAAAGCAAGAAATAAGCAGATTTGTTACCGTTAATTTTGGTTTTATTTACTCTTGAAACAAAACATTTTCTGCGACAGTGCATCTAGTAGTTATGATTACGACGTTTCACCATAAATATTATACTCTGTATATCCGACAAATAACAAACTTTATTTAGTGGTAGAGTAATCTATTACTTGTTACATATACATTAAGATACGTTCCACCAGAAAAAAAAAAAAACTTGGTACAAATGTTGCAATAAAGATTTGTTTGTAATTAAGCACAAAGCTACACAATTGGCTCTCTGTGCTCTGCCCACCACAGGTATCGAAACCCGGTTTCTAGCGTCATAATTCCGCAGACATACCGCTGTGCCACTGGGGGTGGGGCTGCAATAATTGTTTGTTTGGAATTAATCACAAAGCTACACAAAGGGCTATCTGTGCTCTGCCCACCACAGGTATCGAAACCCGGTTTCTAGCGTCATAATTCCGCAGACATACCGCTGTGCCACTGGGGGTGGGGCTGCAATAATTGTTTGTTTGGAATTAAGTACAAAGCTACACAAAGGGCTATCTGTGCTCTGCCCACCACGGGTATCGAAACCCGGTTTTTAGCGTTATAATTCCGCAGACATACGCTGTGCCACTGGGGGGCAGGCTGCAATAAAGAATATGATAACAAAAATATAACCACAAAATTTGGTCATGAATTGTGTTTACAAAATAATTATGGTATTATAACACGATCAGCAAAACCCCTCCAAAAACTAATGTTTTTTTTTTACAAAATACAGCACAAAAGTTGATAAATAAAATGTAATAGAATAATAAAAAAACTACTCATAAACAACAAAATAAGTTAAAAACTACACCGTTTGAATGTCAGTTGTTGTTTTCATCTTTTTTTATAAAATATAACGCACAACAAGAAGGTGCGAAATAATATAACAATAAGGCCAGCGAAGAGATTTTCATAAAATTTATCAAATTGTTAGTCGCAAGCACAAGGTTAAAACGACTTAATCGTTCTGTCAGAAGTAATTTTGCGGACTTTGATTTTGCTAAAATCAAACCCGGGGCTCGATTTCCCGTGGTGGACAAGATGCAGACATCTATCCCCTCACTCTTACTATTATACGAAACTAACATACATAACAACATTGTTATTATTTTTGTTTGAGAGCAACCACATTTTGTCGGAAACTGGAATTCCTAATGGACTTCCCAAACAAGAAGTAGAAAGGAACGTTTCAGTCTACGTGCAAACAAGTAAGGCCCCTGCATGGCCAGGTGGTTAAGGCACTCGACTCGCAATCTGAGGGTCACGGGTTCGAATCTCTGTCACACCAAACATGCTCGCCCTTTCAGGCGTGGGGGCGTTATAATGTGACGGTCAATCCCACTATTCGTTGGTAAAAGAGTAGCCCAAGAGTTGACGGTGGGTGGTGATGACTAGCTGCCCTCCCTCTAGTCTTACACTGCTAAATTAGGGACGGCTAGCGCAGATAGCCCTAGTGTAGCTTTGCGCGAAATTCAGAAATAAACAAATAATAAAGCAAACAAGTATAAATTGGACTAAACATTTACGTCGTTAACATGTAATATCGCTTAGTCAATCTACCTATTGCTGTGTTCCTTGCTGAACCCTTCATTACAACTTCCAACATAAAGATTACCTATACTTTATTGTGACGAAAAGTGGGGAGGGGGATGAAGCTCCCACCACTGCCTTCGCTGCCTATGCTCTTCATCTTTGTATTAATAAACACAAAACGCACGCCATCTACCCATTTTATGATAAAATCAGTTGTTTCTGAAGAACAATAGTTTGAAAAAAAAAGACATTAAAAGGATAAAAGTGTAATTATTAAAAATGTTTCTTTGTTTTAGCGCAAAACTAAACAATAGAATACCTGAGCTCTGGATGGAAGTCCGTAAACGTGTCACTGCCCCATTGAGGATTATTAAAATGGCCCTGAAATCACGAGATAAGGAGTGGAGAAAGTTAATTACACTAAAACAAGAAATTATAGACAAACTTCGGCTTGACTAGTGACTTCATTGGTATACACTTTAATGAATCATGAAACAAAATTAATTTTCCTTAACCTTGTGTCTCCGTTACTTCTATGTATTATATCAGAATTAGGTTATATTTAATATTTGGTATTATAAATGTCTGTACATCTAAATTATGTATGATTTTATATGCAGTTTTTATTAGTCACGTGTATAGAAATACTTATTTAATAGGTATAATATGTTCTTGTTTTTCTATGACACAGTTATTTACTGCACGCTGCCTAACATTATATTAATATAATAATTAATAATATAATTGCCTCTAACCTGACGATGTTACTGTTGTTTATGGCTTTGTTGGCACAAATAATTTCGGGCTAAGTTGTTTCTTGTCACTGCCTTTCCCAACAACTAGTCGAAATGGTTTAAAAATTCTAATTTAAGGGTATACAATAAAAGTACAAACATGTGGGATTTCAAAAAATACAAGACAAGAAATCAATTGGAATTAAAAAGGCCTAAGGTTCGTAAAAAGCTAAAGACATAATTAACTCGGTTTGATTTGGCTTATGTAAAGCTACACGAGGGCTATCTGCGCTAGCCGTCCCTAATTTAGCAGTGAAAGACTAGAGGGAAGGCAGCTAGTCATCACCACCCATCGCCAACTCTTGGGCTACTCTTCCACCAACAAATAGTGGGATTGACCACACGAAGGCTATCTGCACTAGCCGTCCCTAATTTAGCAGTGTAAGACTAGAGGGAAGGCAGCTAGTCATCACCACCCATCGCCAACTCTTGGGCTACTCTTCCACCAACAAATAGTGGGATTGACTGTAACATTATAACTTCCCCACAGCTGAGAGAGTGAGCATGTTTGGTGAGACGGGGATTCGAATCCGCGACTCACAGATTGCGAGTGGATCGCCCTAACCACCTGGCCATACCAGGCCTGGTCATCTCGGACAGTGTCATGGTTGCCTATGAAACTATTAATTGAAAACTGAACATCACGAGTAAACATGTCTAAACGTGTTGATGATTGTCGTAGCATTGGCATAAAAATAAAACTTGTGCAGTCGTGATTTGAATTTTAGAACACTCACACACTGAGAGATCTATTCAACTAAGTGTAATAAAACTGTGGCCATTGCAGAGCCTTGCGAGGACATCTTTTCTTCTGATTCTTGTGAAAACTTAATTACAACTTTCCACAGACAGTAGACTTTATTTGAAAATATTCTTCATACGTTGTCTACCTAAAGTCACATACCTACTAGTATAAAGCTTTGTTTTGATAACAGGCTGATAATCCATAGAATGAATATGCGAAACATTGAGGCCGATTTCAATAAACTTGTTAATTCGAATTCTAATAACCAGAAATTAAAAAAAGGTGTGTGTGTGTTTTCTTATAGTAAAGCCAGATTGGGCTATCTGCTGTGTCCACTGAGAAGAATCGAACCTCTGATTTGAGCATTGTAAATCCGAAGACTTACCTCTGTCTCACTGGAGGACAAAAAATAGGGTTAATGACAAGATGACCACGAGGAAATTATCAGCCGTTTCTGAATATCCAAGAGAATTGGTGAGAACTAACACTAAGCAACTCCAGGCCTTCAAAGAGCTAAGATAATTGGTACAGCTGATACGTTTCTATATGATTCAGATCAAGCTAAATTGCACAAAACTCAGCACTGAATACAAAATTTGTAGAGGGATTTTTGTGGCAAATACAGAATTGTAGCAGAGTCCACAAAATCACAAGATATATTTGAAAGGCGCTTATTAAAAATAAGTTGATACAGTTGAACAAATAGCTCTTGCAAACAAGTTATCCCATACCCTATGTAAATGTAAACCACTCATTCAAAATATCTCTCCTTTATTATTGAATGGACCCCACAAGTCCAACCAACCAATCTGCTTGTTCTTACATATTAACCAAAGCCTGGCACTTAGCCCTAATAACCTACTTATCCTCACAATTTAGTCTCGGTAGTATTCCTGACACAATTAAGTCATGGCCCTTTTCAAGTAAAATGTAATTTTAGTTCCCAACTTTCAAAAAGTCAATTTTAAGGACACGGGATAAGATTTATCATTAGTGAATTGGGATTTTACTCTCTTAAAGCTTTTTCAGTTTACAAATATTGATAATAATCCATTAGCTCCATGATTTTTTCTCCATGTTAAAAAACAAAACCTACGAAAAGAGTCCTTTGGCTACAGATTTACCGCTGTGCCACTAGGTGTGTGTGGTGGGGGGGGGGGAGAGAAGACTAGAAAAGGACTATCCTTAAACATGAAATAATAAGACATCAGTCTTAAAGTCTTAAAGCTATATTAGTCTACTGTTAGAAATGAATAACCCTATAACCCGAGTGCTATCAAAAGGTGGACCTTTCTTCTTCAGGTTAATTATTCTTACATAAGCATAAATCATTTCTTGTCAAATGACTTTTTTCTTTTCTGTTTCTATAGGAGGAAAACCTTTTTTTATATATTTACTATATAATTACAAAAGTTCTCAACACACTATATTTCCGTGTAAGTTGATCATATCTCTTTACTTTCACTTTTATTGAAAATCGATTTAGGAACAAGCTTGTAATCGTATCTTATTTATCTTCTAAGAAATATAATCATTTACAGAATTCCTATTAACATTCCCAAAATGTTAATAGGAATGATTAATTGTTTTCCTTTTTCAAAATTATTTGAAATTGAAAAATTAATATTTTTTCAGGTTACTATTAATAATGCTCCCCATTGGCACAGCGGCATATCTGTCGACTTACAACGCTAGAATCCGGATTTCGATACCTGTGGTGGGTAGAACACAGATAGCCCATTGTGTAGCTTTGTAATTAATTACAAACAAATGAACTATTGATAATCGTACAGGTACCATGCCTTAAAATCACGTAATATATATATATATTCCAGTACGATTTGAGATGTCAGTTTTTGTTTTTCATGAGTTAAGGCAACGGATTTTGACATGTTATTGACACATTCATTAAGGCCGATATATTGACTGAATGTTCATCGTACGAAGTACGAACAACGAGAAAATCGTGAGAGTTTGAGCGTATTTAAACTTGAAGAGGTAAGGTAATATTTGTGGGCATCGTATTTATTTATCATTAATTTAAAAAGTTTTGTATTACTTGTAAGTGCTCTTCTAAAAGAAATAACTTTTCCTTTTTAGAAATTCAAGTTAATAGTACAAACCCTAATGAAATGTTACTGTTAGGCCTATTTGTGTGATAATTCTTGAGGTCGGCGTGACGTCGCAGTCATGTGATTTTGCCTGGTAACGCGTTCGCCATTTTGACAAAGGGACAAACAATAGCGAAGCGAGTACAGCTACGTGTACACAGTTTATATAGGTCTACCGGATACACATGTGGTATGTGGTTGAAATAAATGCTAGTAAATGAAAACCTCTTACAAGAAACACTTGGAGGATAATGTGAAAGCTAATAGCAAGGATATTTTTTTATATGTTCAAGATAAGAAAATTGGGATTGGGCCATGAAAGGATGCTGATGGCAAGGTTTTTTTTGTTGAAGTCCACAAACATGAACCTTAACCTTTGAAAGCACTAGCAACTGGTTGCTAGTTATTTTTTCTCACTAACAATTTTAGGACTGCTGGTGGTAACATTATTTATTTTTCTCTAAAATTAGCTGGAATGACTTTATTATTTATTTCATCTAATTTACAAAACTTAAAAGCAGGCCAATTTAAGCAGAAACTGGTGTGTCTAGGCCATAAGCATTTGGTTCGACAGTCCACAGTACCCCACTGCTGATGGTCACCCCTGAAGTATAATTAAAGGTTACAGTTTAAATGCTGAATTCTGGTGATGTATTAAGTTTAATATTTGTGATGATCATGGTTAAATTAAAATAATGTGAATTGAAAATAATTTATATGATATTATTGATGAACAGCCACTAAGAAATGTTTTACAATTAGGGAAAAATGCACTGCAAAGATCAGATGGTGCTAGTGTAGCTAACTGGTCCATTTGCTAATTGCTTGACAACCAATTAATTGAGTTAAAATTATAGGCTCACTATCCTGCTTCTATGACCGGGAATGTCCTCAGCTAAAACAGGGATCACAAAAATCAGCAAATGAAATGGTAAACTTCAGAATCTTTCAATGTACATAACTGAACTGTATGTAACCCAGGTGTGTGGAGTCTCAACAGTACGAATCTTTGAATCTTCCGTGTAAAATGTGTTCTAGGAATTTCCTAAGTTTTACTGGCATGATTATGAGTCGAGATGGCTTCATATTTTATTTGCCTTTGTGGTTTTTTTATTTGGAATGACATTTTGAAAACTGTCTAAAGAACAAATGTGCTGAGTGCAAAGCAAGTAATTTTGTTTGTTTTTAACACTACTTTGAAATTAGGAAGTATTTAATTAAAGAAAATTTGATCCCTGCTTGTAAAGAGAAGTGATTTTTTTTTAATACATGATGTATTTTATTTGTTTTCCCCTATCTGAACAGATATGTCTCGCTATAGAGAATGGAACTTAAACTGTAAAGTATATGTGGGAAACCTTAACAGTGGTGCAGCCAAACATGACATAGAGGCAGCATTCAACAAGTTTGGCCCACTTAGAAACGTTTGGGTTGCTCGAAACCCTCCTGGATTTGCGTTTGTTGAGTTTGAAGACAGCAGAGATGCTGAAGACTCCGTTCGATCTTTGGATGGGATGTAAGTAAGAATGTGCTAGGTTGTTTCAGGAATCGTTTTTTGTAATGTTAGAAACTCCATCTACCATCCTCTCACCTGCTGTGATTCCTCAGTAAAATACTTTTTGATGATATAAAAATTGTAAGAATGTATTTTGTGAGTTGAAACTATTATCTCAGTACACCTAGCATGACTATCGGGCTGAGAAATAATAATCTTGTAATTCTACTTCCCAACCATATTCAATGATGATGACAAAACCTTGTCAAAACGTTGTACATTTGTTGTTATGTTAAACTTATATTAAAGTTTTTTTCTTCATTACCCATTCAAGCCGTCTCCAGCCATTATTATTCCCAACCATATCTTCCACCCCACCCACCACCATCAGTTTTGTACTTGTAAAAATGGAATATAACTTCCATAATGATTCACGGGTCATAAGTAGGCATTTGTAGTTACAAAAATGGAAAATAACTTCCATAATGATTCACGGGTCATAAGTAAGCATTTGTACTTACAAAAATGGAAAATAACTTCCATAATGATTCATGGGTCATAAGTAAGCATTTGAACTTATACAAATGGAAAATAACTTCCATAATGATTCACGGGTCATAAGTAAGCATTTGAACTTATACAAATGGAAAATAACTTCCATAATGATTCACGGGTCATAAGTAAGCATTTGAACTTATACAAATGGAAAATAACTTCCATAATGATTCACGGGTCATAAGTAAGCATTTGTACTTACAAAAATGGAAAATACTTCCATAATGATTCACGGGTCATAAGCAAGCATGCTTACATTGATAGTTTTGAAGCTGCTGCTACCTTACACAGTCTATAATACACTGAGCAAGCACATTGTAATGATGTCAGTTGCAGTTGGTACTGTTGTCAACAAAGTGCCACTTCTAAAAGATTGTTGCAAATTAAAAGGTGTGAATCATTTGATGAACTTTGCACTCTATTATACAGTAAATTTGTCACTAGAGTACGTCTCAGTCTGCTCTTCTAGTACAGAAAACGGTCCTATGATGAAGGCAGAAAAGAACATGCCTGTCATGTTGGCAGTGGAAACATTCCTTTCCAAGTTTGTACATGTTCGACATGATAGTATTCTTTAGTAGGAGGGAAAAAGGATTATCTGGTGGCTAGAAAAAAGCTAAAAAAAGAAAGGGAAATTGGAGAAGATGCCATGAAATGTTTAAACATATAATTAGATCTATTCATAAACAAATGAACGATTTGAAGTAATCTCGTATACAGGTTTCACTATGGCATAACTAAAATATTTGTGTATAACTGGGGATAAACTCCACCTATCCATACACATACATACATATATTTAATTGTTTACTCTCTGTTACTGGAACCATAATGTTTCTTTTTCTTAATTACAGCTGTGGGATATCAGTGAAACTGAGAATCACTAAATTTATCAAAATGGGATTCCATGGGTACCATTTTCTGTATTCCCTCTTTCAGGATGCCAATATTTACTTATTCCTTTATATTTTATATTTAAAAAAAAATATATGTAATGTAAGTTCTCAGAAACAGGATTCCAACCAGTGGTTCTGAAATTTTATCCATTCTTGTTACCATGGTTTCAGCTGATGAAATTTATTTATTTCTCTAGAATATATGGTAGAAATATTTGTTTTACAGATAGACTGAAATTTACATTAATAACCCAAATCAAAGGAACAATACTATGTTTGTTTTGTTGTGTACTTCCATACAGTGTCATACCAATGTTTGATGGTGCTCCTTTACCCAACCCATTAGTTTGCTTTGTTAGCCAATCAGTGCTCCCCCTTGAGTTTTCACTTTCCGAACGCACTACCCATTGTACAGCCCTGCTTCAATATCTTATTGTATCGATTATTAATATTACTTTTTTAATGGAAAGTGTAAGTTATGCTGTACAGAGACATCTCAAAAGTAAATAGACACCATAATTTTTTTCAATAGTCCTTCATCTCAAAAGTAAATAGACACCATAATTTTTTTCAATAGTCCTTCATCTCACATTATCAACTTGACAAAAATGTTTACAAATGTGCATCAGTATATAGTCAATTTGCCACTAGCATTTTTCAGTGCTTTGACCCAGGCTGCACACAAAACGTCAAGTAGCTCTCCACGGGACGCTGGTTTTCTGGAACTTATTCTCACTGCTCGAGCAGGTATGGTCCAGAC